GTATTAGTATTAGTATTAGTATTAGTATTAGTATTAGTATTAGTATTAGTATTAGTATTAATATTAGTATTAGTATTAGTATTAGTATTAGTATTAGTATTAGTATTAGTATTAGTATTAGTATTAGTATTAGTATTAGTATTAGTATTAGTATTAGTATTAGTATTAATATTGATATTGATATTAGTATTAGTGTTCGTATTAGTATTGACGTATTAGTTTGAACATTAAATATTCGTATTAGAATTGGCGTATTATTACTAATAGTAGTGTTGATATTAATATTAGTATTAGACTATTAGTATTAATCATCGTATTAATATTAGGATTAGTATTAATATTTGTATTATTAGTATTAGTATTAGTATTAGTATTAGTATTAGTGTTAATATTAGTATTAGTATTAGTATTAGTATCATTATTAGTATTAATATTAGTATCATTATCAATAACAACACCAGTATGAGTATGAGTATGAATTTGAATATCAGTATTAGTATCAGTATCAATATCTATATAAGTATTGGTATGAATATTAATATTGGTATTAGTATTGGTATTAGTATTAATAATAGTATTAGTATGAGTATTAGTATCGGTATCAGTATCAATATCAATATTAATATCAGTAGTAGTATCAATATCAATATCAATATTATTATCATTATTAGTATTGGTATTAGTATTAATAATAGTATTAGTATGAATATTAGTATTAATATTCGAATTCATATTTGTCTTGGCGTATTAGCATTAACATTAGCATTAGTCTTAATATTAGTATGGGTATTAGTGTTCGTATTAGTATTGGCGTATTAGTTTAAACATTAAATATTCGTATTAGAATTGGCGTATTATATTAATAGTAGTGTTGATTTTTTTTTTATTTGAGTAAATTCAAGTCCATTACAATGGGAAGTAAGGGAGGGGGGACTCGAACCCTAGACCTTTACCCTATTGGTCAATGTTAGGTATCAACTCTCCTAATGAGGGTTGGTTAATAGTAGTGTTGATATCAATATTAGATTAGACTATTAGTATTAATCATCGTATTAATATTAGGATTAGTATTAATATTAGCATTATTAGTGTTGGTTTTAGTATTTATATTAGTATTGATATTAGTATTATCAATTTTGGTTTTAGTATTAGTATTAGTATTAGTAGTTGTTGTTAGTGTAATATTAGTGTCAATATTAGGGTGGCATAGGCAATTGTACGCCGCAATGTCCAGAGTTAAAAGTATATTTGAGATAAATATATTTATCAAACTCAGAATCGGGCGATATAACTAACTTTACTAGCAATGTTGTGTGTACAAAAGATTTTCAACGAATATGATGGTAAATCACAAACAAATGTATATTTTGATTCAATAAAACATTTTTTTGGGTATTATTTACATGTATGTCAACTGTTCAAAGTTTTCATTCGTTTTATTTTATCCAAAATAATTAAAAAAAAATTGATCCCGTGCATCGCACGGGTGAATTACTAGTTGTATATAAAGCCAAGAGAAATGGGGTATATATATATGTCAATGAAATACTATTGGACGATGATGACTTTCAGTTAAGTCTTTGAAATTTGTCGGAAATATCGTTTCAACTCTTTCAAGTATCGTTCTTTTTCTTCTTCTTCAAACATCACCACTATTTAAGTATGTTTTATTTATTAAAAGTAATTTAAGACTAATTTATACAATGTACTATCTATATCTATACTATTATTATTTATTATATATTATATATTATTTATATTTTTTAATATATTACTAGCATTTTTTTTCCAGTGCGATGCCCCGGATAGCATTTCTAACGTGAAAATACTTATTGATTTAATATGACAATAACAATTATAATAAAATTTATTTGTGATATGATAACAACATCAATATTTATACAAATTTAATAATACAAACTGATTCAAAAAAAAAAATTATATAAACTTTATTCTCATAATATAAAATTGATTATTAAATAAATGAAACAAAGAAAAATTAGAGAAAATATGCTGGAATAAGCGATAAAAATAATAAGAACAATTAAAAAGATATTAAAAGTAGTGGATTAGAATTGTGCTAGCCTAGATTTGGTGTGAAAGTAATTAGAAAAAAGTGGAAAGTGGCTGCGAAATAGAAGATATATATATATATATATATATATATATATATATATATATATATATATATATATATATATACAAATATATATACCATTAGGGTTTCTTAGGGTGCCCTAACGTTTCTCTCTTTTATATATAAGATATCGAGTGATACGCTCAAAATTTAATCTCCCTTTTAATCCACTACTCCAATCTCATTAGGTGTCCTTTTATCATAAAAAATAAAAAAATAAATAAAATCACTTGCTAATTGTATTCTATAATATAATGTGTGTCCTAGTTCTACACCAACTCAAACCTCATATTATATATACATGGTATCAACACATGCATGAAATAATCATTCATTGTCAACAATTATCAAGCTAGAATAATTTATATATTCGTACACAAATATTTTTCTATGATTTTAGTAGAAATTAAAGAAGGTGTTCGAGGATGGATACCAAGCATATCGATACCATGCACAAATATACGACGAAGAAAACTGCGAAGAGGGTGAGGATGAGTATGCCGTTCGGGCTCGAGTGCAATAAATGCGACAGGCATACGGACAAAGGTGAAAAGCTTTATTGTTTCAAAAGAGCAATCGGGATCGACTCGACTTTCGAAGTTGAGATTTACAGATTTGAATTTTGGTGCCAATGTTGTCGAAGTGATTTTTCGATCGTTTCGGATCCCGGTCGATACAATTACGTTCTTGAATCAGGTGTCACATTCGTTGCCAAAAGATTTCATAGATTCCCGTATCGTTTGTAATTTATATTTAGCTTTAATTTTGTTTTAGATTTAATTTTGTTTTAGATTTAGATGAGTAGCTTTAGCATGTTTTGACTTTCGATTTATTCTTTTTAATAGAAATTTATTTTCGTGTTCATAATTATCGTGATTATTGTTAAATTTTTAATAGCAGTTTTTTCTTCATAATTATATGTGGTGTCGAATGCCTTGTCATTTGCAATAAAAATTAGGACTTTTATTGCAATTCACCCCTTATTAAATGAAAAATCCAACAATTAAACCCATGATAGTTACATGGTAAAATTGGATTCTTGGAGGACCTTGAAATCTAAACGATGCAGAATATACAAAAACAGAACATCAACAATATATAAATGGAAATTTGGAATTCAGAAAATTAGCAAACCAACAAAATTCAAAAAAATAAAATTAAATTAAAACACATTGAAAAACACCAATACCTAAACGAACCTACTACCACCATGCGTACAAATTTATTAAATTCCGTTGATTTTTTTTCTGTACGACCTAATACTTGATAGAACGATTAAGATTAATATAACCATTAAGATTATTATAAATTATAATTATAATAATTAAAGTTCATATTTATCACGTAGTTATATTGTTTATTGGTAACCATGAAATAAGAAAGCTTATTTTTTAGATATTCATCGTGTATTCAATCTTGTACAAATTGAAGGCATTTCTTCTTCTTCTTCTTCTTTTTTTTTTTTTTTTTATATTATTATTATTGAGAAAACCGTATGAAAAACTGCTAGAATATGAATTGTCGAAAATACCCCTTGGTTTAGGTCTAGGGTTGTAGGTCAAAATATCTTCCTTTTATATATAAGATTAATCCAATTAAATCTAATAATGGACTATTTCATAAATTATATTATGAAAAAGATAAGATGCCCATACTTGAAATTAATTAGATGGAAATATTAAATTAATTTATATGTTCAAGTTTATGATAAAGAAAAGAAATATAATTTTATTATGGTTTCTTGTTATAATTTACTTTAAAGAGATTTTTTTTCTCTCTATAAAATCGAACGAAAATAAAAATAAAAAATAATAATAATTAAATGAGTATGTAAAATAATGGAAATAGAAGAAAATTACTATTGAAAATAAACAGGGTGATATTTATGTTAAAGATTTCAAATAAAATTAAAAATCTCACAAATGTTCTTCCCCAAAACCTAAATCCAAATTAATCCCCATGTTGTAGGATAGTTCTAAAGAAAAAAAAAAAAAATCCTCAATG